CCTGCTATACACAGAGTCTTTATACCTCTGGGTGTTTCCTTGCCTCTCCTTCAGTCCTAGGGCATGGTAAGGATGGCCTCCAGCTTTGCTCTCTCAAGGAATATGCATCCTACATCACTGACCTAATGCTTTAAAGTATTTTTATAAATACAAATAGCACATACATATTCTTTTGCCACACTTTTAACACATTTTGCGTGTAATATAAAGCACTTTGGAATCTCTCTGCCTCATGTGTTCTTCAGGGGAAGAAATGCAGGTGTGTCCCCATGTGCACATAGACACCTCCACGCCTCTGGTAAGGCATAACACTGTATGTGTGCCTATTTTCAGCCCAAGGCTTATAACACTGTATAAGTGTGTGTTCTCTCCAGGGGTCTTTCTGCCTGGATAGACAGCTGCCCCATTCTTTTCCCTGACCCCATGGCATGGTGGTTTTCTAGTCATTTCCTTGTTGACAGACATCTGGAGCATTCTCCCATGTTTTACTCTTAGAAGCAGTCGGCAGAGGACATGCAAATGTATGCTTCCTGTGCTAACGGCCGTGTTCATCTCACTTCTGAAGAGCGGAGGGTCACTTCTGGGCCTTTTGGATAAGATCAAGTGTAGTCCAGTCAGTAGGAACTACAGTGGAGCACAGCTCGTGTCTGGGGTCATTTTAAAATAAACTTCATTATGAAAGGCTTGCACATGAAAATCACCGAAAACAACCAGACCCGAAGACTATACATCTCTATGAACTTCTATACAGTTGGAATAGCCAGAGTTTTAATACGTATGATTTTCTTGGCTTCTAAAGAAAATGGCCTTTTAAAAATAGGGCTTGGGGTTCTTTTGTAAAGAGGCTTGGGTGCTGGCAAGCCTCATATCCCTTAACTAAGTTTCACAAGATTGCCCTCTTGCCTCATGTCAGCTCAACATCTCCCTCCCTTCTCCACCCTCTCCCCCTCCCTCCTTCCCCTCTCTCTTTTTTTCTCCGTTCCTGCTCTCCCCACCTGGTGGCTGAAGATCTTCTTCCTATTCAGAGTTACTGCAAGCATGGCTTCTCTCCTGGACCTCTCTTCCAAAGTATTTTCAACTTCCCAGGCTATTGGAGGCATGGTGATTGAGAGTAGTTTAGTCCTGGTGGTGTTAGCCTTCATTCCGTTAGTGACTTGCTCCTGGGCTTAGGGTCAGGATTTAAAAAAATGGCCTGTGAAGTACACAGCAAGAATGTACCAGAAGTACATAGCAGTGTTGGTACCTAGTGGCTGTTCCCATGCTCTCTTAGGTTCTGCCCTTCAGTTAGCAGACATTTACATGCCTGGATGCTGTGAGGAACCCATGTACATGCACTTGCTCATGATGAAAATCATTGCTGAATTTTTGCAGATACTTTCACTTTATCACAGACCGTTTTTTTTCCCCTCCCATGTCAGATAATTTCTGTTTGATGAGGGATGAGTTTTTCTTTCTTGGCTATTTCTGCTGAGCAGTGATTCAGCACTTCATGTGCCCGGAGGTTAGCACTGGCATGTAAGGATGGTGTTTAAGATAGTGTGTCTGCGATAAGCCAGTGGACTCGGGGGAAGACACACCGCTGAGGCTGGACTCTTCCTTATCTGGACAGCAGCTGCGGGTGACTTGTTGGCTTCTGTATTGTTTTGTGCACCACCTTTTACCATCTCTAATCTTGCTTTGTGTTGATAACAGCAAACACCCTCCATTCTCTTTGCCACAAGACGGGGAGGTCTTAGCACTGACTTTGCCCATCCCCTCTTTAAGGGGACCTTAAATCTTGTACAACTGGAACCATTTTTCTTTCCCAAGATTACAGAAAACATATAAGAGCCTGGAAAGCCCGAGAGAACCACTTTGGTACAATTAACTATCTCACTGCCACTTCTGTGGAAAACTCAGACTAGTGGTCTTGACCTTCCTTTAGTGTGCCCTCCATTCAACCCTCAGGCCTCTGGAGCTCGGGGAACTTGACACAGAAAGGGAAGGTTGGCAGTCTCCCATCCTACTCACACACCCTGTTTCTCCATTCTCTTTGAGGACTCAGGTGCACTGTCTTGCTTTTAGTGCAGTTATGGATTTTTATTTGTTTTTTTTTCTTAATAGGCATTTTAAGTTTGATCTTATTTTAGAACACTATCCTGGTTCAGAATTTAAATTAACACCTTGCTGATTTGTGAATGAATATAGGGCTCCTTTTAAGGGGCTTGAGGTATGTGTTGCCTCATCAGGATCTGAGCACAGTACTGGGCTTGAGAAAGATGGCTTTCTCAATGGAATAATTTATCATTGCCAGAGGTAACATGAAATTATTAATTTTTTCCTTAAAGCGTGTTCTTTGTAAATGTTTTCTGGAGAGACATGAATTGAAATTAATGATGTTCCCTCTTGTTAAGACTTCATTTTATTTCATGTATTCTGTTGACCCCTGAGAGAATATCCGATCTAGAGAGAAGGAAAGATAAAACGCCACTAAAAGTCCTGCAGGCACTCCGGTGACTAGAGTTAACTTCCTGTCACCATCTGTGCCCCTTCAAGCTACAGGAGCACTTTCGTTCTTGTGGAGGGATCTAATGAGGGCTTGGGGTCCTGGGGATTGGACTTAGGGTTACACTTATGCTAAGCACGTGCTCTACCACTGAGCGACACCCCAGGCTCCATGTTTTGTATTTGGGTGCCTTAGGTTTATTAGAATTCCACATGCATTTCATTTTAGTTTAAAAATATTCTGGTTTCTGGAAACACAATAAAAGTAATGTTCGCAGCTGGAGTGATGTGTATCCTAGCTCAAAAAAGAGTCTATTGTACTATGTAATATACACATACACGTGCGCAGGTGCACACAAGCCCACACCTACACCCACACAGACACACATTAATTTAACTTGTCAATAGTGGTGAAGGTATTCTTTCTTTTAAACTGGCTGGCTCAGAGTTCTGATTATGGCCAGTAAAAAAGGTGCTCCCCCACTTCCTCATTCCTGACATTTGTACTCTGTGAAAGGCTGAGGTTGGTGCCAGGTGCGGTCCTTGAGTTGAAGAGCCACCTGCGTCTGAAGTTCTGTGAGTTCCTGCAGATTTTGTTGATGGAGACTTTAGCCTATCTCCTATTATTTATAGTCTATGCTGGCTAGTTTCATGTCAACTTCACACAAACTAGGGTCACGTGGGAAGAGGGAACCTCATTTGAGAAGATACCCTGCACCAGACTGGCCCATGGTATACTTTCCTGATTGATGTGTGATGTGGGAGGACCAGATCACTGTGGGCACTGCTGCTCCTCTGCTGTGGCCCTGAGTTCTGTAAGAAAGTGGGCTGAGCAAGCCACAAGAAGGGAGGGAGCCAGGAAGCAGTATCCCTCCCTGGCTCCTGCATCAGCTCCTCCCTCCAGACTCCTGTTTCAGATACTTCTTCCCTTCATGATGGTCTATGATAGGAACATGTAAGTTGATACAAACCCTGTCCTTCCCAACTTGCTTTTGGTCATGGTGCTTTATCACAGCAATAGAAACTCCAACTCAAACATGGTTCACAATTTCCAGTGTATTTATAGGCTCCTGTAGTGCCTGAACTAGCTTCATGTGCATCCTTTTCCATAACCACCACATATCCAAGACTCCTTTCTGTGACTGGTTGTCACTTCCTGTAAGCGGTGGGTTCATTTTGACTCCTAGGGGTGGGCTGCCTTACTCCATTCTTCCTTCTCCATTTTTTCTTAAGGAAGTTCATCTTGTTTAAGAGTTTACTAGTTGTCAGCACAGAAAGGGCACTGTGTATGTGTATGTGTGTGTGTGTGTGTGTGTGTGTGTGTGTGTGTGTGTGTGTGTGTGTATGTTTATAGATGTGTGTATGTATAGGTATATATGTATAGATGTGTGTATGTATAGGTATATAGGTGTGTGTATATAGGTGTGTGTATAGATGTGTATGTATGTATATGTAGTGTACAGATGTATGTATATGTATACAGATGTGTGTATATGTATATAGGTGTATGTGTATAGATGTGTGTATGTATATGTATATAGATGTGTGTGTGTGTGTGTGTGTGTGTGTGTGTGTGTGTGTGTCTCCAGGGTAATCAGAACACCATAGGCATCAACTTTGGAAAGGGCCAGGACAGGGTCTCCTCTTCTGCCCTCTTTCCTTGCTGTTCTCTGGAAGACACTGTACTGGCTCTCTCTTCCATATACTCCATCTCTACTAAATGCGTTACACTTCTTCACAACCCCTCTCTTCATCTGTGAAGTTGACCCAGGGCTTTCCTGAGGACCTAACAATGCAGTGAAGGTAGAGTGATGACAGATAGATACTAATAAACACTTGAGGTTTCTCCAAAAGGATCCAGGTCTGACACATCTTTAAGCTGTCCTTTGCTTTATGCAGTAAAGGGCAGAATGGATCATGTCATAACAGGGGACCCTAAAGGACAAGGAAACTCAATTAAAATTGACTTAATTTCTAAGGCTCTCTCTAAATTATAATCCATAATTGCTGCTGTGTTAATAGAGGTTTCAGCCATAAATTATCTCCTGGGATCTCCTGTCTCCTCACGAGACAGCAACAGGGCAGAAATACACTGTGTCCGTCCAGCAATGTAAACTGGGTGGCTCCTCATTCTAAGGTGTGAAGAGAGGGTAAAGGTCATGATGTCTTTGTGGAGGAGAGCGGTACAGGTGAGTGAGGGCTAGTCTTCAAGGGCCTGGCCTCTCTCACTTCATGTCTTCCTTCCCCTCGGAACTCATTGAGAAATATGTGGCATGTTATGTTCCTACTTTATCTCATCCTGTTATGGAATTACATGTACTCTTTAATGCTGTTTACAGTCTGGTATCAAGAAAGAAAAACTGTTAAATTTTTAACACCTCTTTATACATGAGAAATAGTTAAGAATCAGAAAACAAGGAAATATATGTAAGTTTGAGAGGAGCTGTCTACACTACAGTTAGTAAGTGTGGAGACAATAATTGCTTTTGTTAATATGTATATTCTTTTAAATTTAGGGATAGAAGGACAGTCAATGGAAGTTTCTAATATTGTGAACATTGAAAATGTGCATAACCGTGAGATTGTAATGAGAATTTCATCTAAAATAAACAACCAAAATAGATTTTATACTGACCTAAATGGATACCAGGTAATTTTCTCTAAAATCAGTTGTATTTGTATGTAATTTTTTATGCATATATTTATGTGGTATATACAGGGGATGTATATGTTTATGTATGTAATTTTTATATAGGATAATTGTCCAGTTAATTTTGAGTCATTTGAAAACTATTTCTAAAGTTGAAAACTATTTCTAGAATAAAACCAAATTTTAACAGACATTTATAGGTTCTATAATCAGATTTCCAAAGTTAAAACAACACAGGGATCACCCAATGACAGAGAAATGGAATGAGATCTACATGAACAGCCTGGACATGAGTGGCGGTAATGAAAGGCGAGGGTTGAGGGAAAGAGAGCTTGGGGGAGCGGGAGATCCCAGCTGGATCAACAACAGAGAGGGAGAACAAGGAATAGGAGACCATGGTAAATAAAGACCACATGAGAATAGGAGGAAGCAAAGTGCTAGAGAGGCCCACAGAAATCCACAAAGATACCCACACAACAGACTGCTGGCAATGGTCGAGAGACAGCCCGAACTGACCTACTCTGGTGATGGGATGGCCAAACACCCTAATTGTTGTGCTAGAAACCTCATCCAACTACTGAGGGATCTGGATGCAGAGATCCATGACTAGGCCCCGGGTGGATCTCTGGGAGTCCAATTAGCGAGAATGAGGAGGGTTTATATGAGCGAGAATTGTTGAGACCAAGGTTGGATAAAGCACAGGGACAAATAGCCAAATGAATGGAAACACATGAACTATGAACCAATGGCTGAGGGGTCCCCACTGGATCAGGCCCTCTGAATGGATGAGACAGTTGATTGGCTTGATCTGTTTGGGAGGCATCCAGGCAGTGGGACCAGATCTTGTGCTCATTGCATGAGTTGGCTGTTTGAAACCTGGGGCCTATGCAGGATTGTTTGGCTCGGCCTGGGAGGAGGGGACTAGACCTACCTGGACTGAGTCTACCAGGTTGACCTCAGTCTGTGGGGAAGGCTTTGCCCTGGAGGAGATGGGAATGGGGGGGGGGGGGGGTTGGGGGGAAGGTGAGGGGGACGGGAGGGGGGGAGAACAAGGGAATCCGTGGTTGATATGTAGAACTGAATTGTATTGCAAAATAAATTAATAAAAAAAAAAAAAAAACAAATCTTTGAGAGACATCATGTTTTTAGAGTATTTATTTGTAAAAGTTTATTCTTTCACATTGAAAGCTAGGGGGCTAGAGAGAATGCTTGCTTGAAGAAAACCTGGTTCAGTTCCCAACACCCATGTCAGGTACTCACAACCACTTATAATTCTAGACTTAAGGGATTTGGCCTATCTGGGCACCTACATGCACATGGTACATATAAACTCACACACACACACACACACACACACACACACACACACACACACACACACATACACATACACACACACACGCACACCCCTACACATATGTTTTTAAAAAATTAAATATTTAAAAATGAGAATTTGATGACTATAAACACTTTGCTAAAACTATAAATATGAATTTATTAGAAAGGAAACATAATTAGGGTTTGGAAGATATCCTTTTTCTACATAAAGAACTCATATATACTTGTCATTTATTCCTTGTGATATAATAATGGCATCTTTTAAGTTTTATGATAGTTCTTTAAGTCTGTTAACATTGAGTGGGTATGCACATTTATACATGCACGCAGGTACATAGAGAAGTATATGCATGCCACTTTAAAAATGTGGGCTGCTATATATTTAATCAAAATCATCATACAGCAACTCCAAATATAGTAAGAAAATCAATTCTTGCATTTTATTTGTATATTATTGATTCTTTTAATAGTACTTAAGAGAGATCTTTGAATTGTTATTTTAAATTTCTATTATTTTGAATGTGTGACAGTGTGTCTTTGAATAACACCACTAAAAACATGAGCAAATTTTTTAAACATTAGCATTTCAAAATTCCTGGCTATGAATAGAAATAATTTCACAACATATGCTTTTTACTTGGTCTGATTTTCAACCGGCTATAAGTGGAAAGGGCTGGATAATTTCCTCTTCTATGATTTCCTGCAAAAAAAAGTTAAAATTAAACCTTCTCCAGAGAACAGAAATTGCAGCGTACATTCTGATTAGCATGTGAATTCGACTCCAGCCCTTAGGTTTTCAAATGAAACTCTGACTTTATGGCAATTCATTTTTCTTACATACAAAAGAAAGTATTTTCTTAAAATCTCACAGAAATAAGTGTTTGTATGTATTGGTGTACACATGAATAAGAAAACTTAGTAAAAAGTGAATTGCTAAAAATGTGCATTTTCATTCCAGTGGTCAAACAAGTGTTGATATTATTTCAAGTCCATAGTGTAAACATTTCTTAAAATAAACCCCATTTTAACCTATGGAAATGGTAGTTCTTGGGCAGAACTGGAGAGAGACTCGGGTAGAAAGTGGGAAAAGCAGGAACACGATTGAGGCGTCTTTGCACGTCGTTTCATAATTTTAAAAGATACAGTCCAGTCAGGGTGTGAAGAGTGGGATTGTTAAGAGGAGTAGAGAATTCTTTGACAGTATCCTGCCTGCTTCCATCCTCCCTCCCCTCTCTTCCCTCTGTCCCTTCTTTCTTCCTCTCCACTTCTCTCCTCCTCTCCATCTCTGTCCTGTCTTAACTGCTGTATTTCTTCCCTAGGAAGCATTTGTATTATCACAAACTGAGCATCTTAAAAGAACAGAACTTTATTCTTTCATTCTCTTAGAAACCAAATATCTGAAGTCAGGCTGTGTGCAAGGCCACATTCCCTGCACAGACTCTAGTAAAGCACCCTCCCTCGCTGCTTCCTAGCTTCTCAAGTTTACAGATAGGTGATCCCTGGCATTGCTGGGTGTGTGGCTGTGCCTCCCAGCCTCTTCCTCTGATATCACATGTTGTTATAACATTGCCACTGTACGTGTCTCTCTGTGTCCACATTTCTTTCTTACAAGGATGCTAGGTTTTGGTCATGTCGATTTCTGAAAAGACACTTACCTCAAAGTAAGATCAGTTTCACAGATTATAGTTAAATATGAATTTGAAGAGACTCAGCATCACCATTAGGTGGTGGGGGCTTGTTGAGGATGCTGAAGGTCAGATCTGGGACATGCTTCGTCAGGACCACCCTTCCATGGCTGGGTACGCAGCTCATGTGAGCCACTGTCTTAACTTTCTGCCTTTACTATTTTTGAGTTTCGTTTTATACTTTCACAAGTTTAAAGAAGGAAATGGCGTTTTTTAAGTGGTGTGAGTAAAATCCAATGATAACAGGGTCCCGAGGATATAAAATGTTTTCAGGGGCTGACAGCCTCTCAAAAGGTAAAATTCTGCTTCGTGCATTCAGACACGAGGCTGCAGAATACTGGTATTCAGAAGTATCTCGATTTAAAATAAACAAGAGTAAACACTGATTTTTTTTTAAACTATAAGTATGCACTTTATTATAATGTAATATGTTAGAGGATTTGGTGGCAATCTCTGTGGTATTTATTAAAACTGATTCAAGAATAATAGATAGTTCTTGAATGGGGACAGTGAGTTATTGTGCTTAGCATTCATTACAAAAGAAGCATGTTAGATCTCGATGAGAAATGAATACTTAATACCTTCATAATTTGTTTTATGCAAATATGGAAACTACATGACTTCTGCCGGGCAATTTTTATTGTGACTTTAAATAATGCCTGTTTTAAAATCTGGACAAGTTCTACCTTTCACATTTAAAAATTGTCTTCTAAGAGCCTTGTGATTTCTCTGCAAATGATTTTAAGGAGTGTTTTAATTTTTAAATATTTCTTTGCTTGAACAAGAACAGAAGTTATGCCTTTTTCCTCTTTGGGAAAGAGATAACTAAATAATCTAATTTATGAAAGTATATGTGTAAATAATACATTTATGAAATGAGAATTGCTTGGTTTCATAGATTCAGCCTAGAAGGACAATGAGCAAATTGCCTCTTCAAGCCAATGTTTACCCAATGAGTACGATGGCCTACATCCAGGATGCTGAGTACCGGCTCACACTGCTCGCCGCTCAGTCTTTAGGCACTTCCAGCATGGCTTCCGGTATGTATTGTTTCACAGTCTGCTCGGAGTTCTGAGTGTGTAATATTTCTGTGGTCAAACGTATTAATTATCCCCCCATGAGCTGCTTTCCTTTAAGAATCAGGCAGGTAGTTAACTCAGGTTTTACGAGGACGATATAAGATGACTGTCCTCAGTCTTCTGATAAGGAGCAGGAGACTGTGACGCCACAGTTGTTTTTAGAGGTAAGTGTATTTGTTAGTTTTTCATTGTGACAGAATGCCTGAAACTTTAGGCAAGAAAACTACATTTTGACTCATGACTTCAGGCTTCCAGCCGTAATCACTTGGCTCTTGACTTTAAACTGTAGTGAGTTGACAGCCTGATTGTTATAAAGAAAAAATGAAAGAGACAGGGAGAGGAAGCGGAAGAGAGTGGACCTGAGGTCAGGGTCTACCTTTCAGACTTTGGACCAATGACCCCCTTCAACTAGACCCTGCCTTGTAACAACTCGTTCAGCCGCGAACATATCAGTGAGTTACTATTAATGAAGTTAGTTTTGATCTAGTCACTGCCGAGTGGCCCTGAACTAGGGACCAGGCCTCCAACACAAAGGCTTTGGGAAACATTTCATGTACAAATTGCAGCTGTAATTTACTTTGGCTAGTCTGTCATGTTCAGAGATCTGTGTTGTCATCATGATGGGATTGGAAACCTCAAACTCTAGAAGCGTAGACAGTTTGCAAAAGTGATATTGTAGTTCAAACATACAGTATACTCCTGGATTGTGGTACTATGACCTGCCCCTCAAAAGACTTACATGTTGAAGACCTGCTCCTACATGTAGCCATGATGCTATTGGAAAGTGGTTGCTAAGCAGTAATGGAGAAAAGCAGAAATTACAATGTGTTTTATATATTTTTAGTAGCTACTTTGACCTATGATCAAAAGGCAGCCTGTCATCTGGTAGAGTATCTGGATCCCCTCCTTCACTCAAGGGGACCTTAGTTCAAAGCAAGGTGCCTGGGTTTCTATTTAAGCAGTGTCCTCAGTGAATATCTGCATAAAATTATCCTGGTCAGATTTCTTTGTCTCTTTGATTTTAGGTCAAATTGAAGTCTTCATGGATCGAAGACTCATGCAAGATGATAACCGTGGCCTTGGGCAAGGCGTTCATGATAATAAGATTACAGCTAATTTGTTTCGAATCCTGCTGGAAAAGAGAAATGGTGTGAACATGGTAGGGATCCCTAAACACTAAGCGTTTCTTATGTTGGTGGTTCTTTCTCCCCAAAATTCAAAGTGATAACTTAAAATTTTAATCCAGTTTCTAATTTTGAGAAGTCTGTATAATAGAGTCAGCTTATATTTAGAGAAATTTTTCAGTTAGAAATACTGAATAAGAGCTACATTTGGGCCATATTGTTTTTTACTTTTCTTTACTATATTGCCAAATATAAATCCAAGGAAGCAGTTTGGATGAGATTATTTTCAAAGAAAAGACTGGTCTGTTGGCCTGAGAATTAGAGAATAGATGATTGAACTAAATTCTAAACCTTAGTGACCATACCATAGTCTAAAGCTTGTGGTTTGACAACAGACTGACTTGGCTTCCATATCAGTATTTATTGCCCTACATAAGATCCCAGCACTTTGTTAATCAGTGGGACAGTGAGCAGCCTGTGTCTTCTCACTGATACCAGTATTGACGCCAAAAATTGACCACTGGCTCGGAGACCCCGCCCCCGTTGGGTCCTCTGTCACCCACGCGTCTTCCATACCTCTCAGCACTTCTGCACTGACTGGTTTTCATTCAGTGCCAAGTTCTTCCCATGCCCTCTTGCTCTGCGGCATCTTAGCACCCGCCCCTTCCTCCTTCCTGTCAAGGGAGTTCTTAGCGGTACTTCAGACCAGAGCTTGCTTCTTCCTTGCCCACATCATCTCTTCTTGTGCCCCCTCTGGACTGTCCATCGCCTGGTCATGTTTGTGTAAGATTAGTTGGCCAGGCTTTTTTCCTGCTTTGGACCATAAACTCCGTGAGAGTAGGGACTGTGTCCTTCTCTGCTTCTAGGATCATTTCTGTTTAGGGGAAGGCCCAATGTGCCATGTGAATGGATGCTCAAATAGATAGGTGGATGAGGCTGCAGAGCCGTCTTGGAATTGAGCACACCTCATAGTTGTCTTCCTTCTAGACTCTTGGAATGTGTCCGCCTTATCTTCAGGCATCGTGGGGCTTCTCTGCCCATGTAGAGAGTTTGTGTCTACAAATAGACAAATAGATTGATGGGATGAAAGCAGACGATTTAAAATAAGCAATTTGATAGTATTTAGAATTAAATTAGGAAGAAAATAATTAATATTCATTTTAGATGTTAAAATTTGTATCAGCCCAGTTTAAAGAGAGAAACCTGCGTTGGTTTCTTCTCTCCATGTCGACACTAACATACACAATTTCTGTTACAACAGCAATAAAGAATTTCATTTAGACCCATAACACTCTCACTTAAAGTTGAACAGTTTGTTGATTCCATTCAAAACTCCTGGGATAGCAATTGATTTAAATTTGATCCACTATTTCTATAATCCTATGTTAGTGAATTTCTCTTTTACTTAACTATAGATTCTAGGGCTTGAATCCATAACTTTTAAATAAAAAATGAACTAGAGAAGAAACTATACATTTTAATTTGTAGTAAAATTGATTTAAAAGACACTGGATCAAGGAACGGTACGTGGCCCATGGTTTAACTTTTCTAGAGTGTTTTTAATTTCAACCGTTCTAATGTTCAAAGTATCGATGTTGAAAGAGCAGCCGAAGGTGAACTCTACAGACTTGGAACTCTTCAGACTGCCAGTCCACTGGGCAGACTGAGAGTGGTGGGTCCTGCTCTCTGGCTCTCCTGTAGAGGCAGTGGAGACACAGATCTGGGGCACCAATGGAGACATCGTCCCTGCTCATGGCCAGTGGAACTGGGAAATGGAAATTGTTTCTGCCGTTCACCTCTTGGAGATCTGATTTTTTTTTTTTTGACGCCTCTCCCTCTTTCTGGCAAGGGCTGGAATAGAAAAGGACCGCTGGTGATATAGAAGCCGTGCAGGTGTCATGGTCCTGTTAGTGTGCCTTGGATGCCAGTTCTTCTCATATAAGGAAAACCCAGCATGAAGAGCTTACCAGATTTAAGAGCAACTGTTTGTGTTAGTGGGAACTAGAATGCTCTGGTAAACTTGAGGATATACACCCCATTGAGCATTCCCTGTCAGTCCCAGCTGATGGTGTCTGTGTGGGACTGCTGGTCCCGCGTAACTCAGAATTCTAGTTTCTTGGTCAAAAATCAAATATCTGTTTAGGGAAGTTTGGGGGTACCTTTTGTGTGTTTTTTGTTGTTACTGTTTGTTTGTTTGTTTGTTTTTTGAGACAGCATCTCACTGTATAGTCTTGGCAGGCTGAACTCTGTGTAGACCAGGCTGGCCTCAAACACACAGAGATCCACCTGTCTCTATTTCCAGAGTGATGGGATTTAAAAGTCCACACCACCTTGCCCACCATGGTTGACTTTTAAATCTGAATTTCTAAAGAGATAGCTTTTTACAAACCTTTTAATGCTATGCAGATCCCAAAAACATGGCTTATTAAATAAATAGACTTACTACCACACACATTTATTAGGCTCCTACCATGTGTCAGTCAGGTCACTCTGAGTCAGCAAAGATAGCTTTCTACTGTGATGATAGGCTGGACTGCAGTTCCGTGATAGAGAATTTGCATCATGTGCACCAGACCCTGGGTTCCATCTCCAGCACAGCCCCACAAACAAACAAACAAACAAATTACCGAAGACCTCTTCCTTACACGTAATTGACTAAGCGAAGTGGAAGCCTTTGATGCTTGCAGGTCCAATAACTCAAGTGAGCTTGATAAAGGACAGAACAGCGCAGGAAGTCCAGCTGCTGATCAAAGACCAGCACAACCAAGAAGGTTTCAGCTCCGTATGGTTGGATCAGCGTAAGCTGGAAATTCGTTCATGTCAGACTGCACAAAGAAGCCTGGACTCCCGTAATCCGAAACCTTCCAAACAACAAGAAACCAAACAATGCTTTTAGTAGTGGTCTAGTAACTGAAGGGCTGACAGAACCACTTGCCGCTTAATCGAGCAGGTGACACTTCTACAGCAGATATGTATTAGAAATCTGGGCTTCTCCCAAGACTCGGAATTTAGAAGATTGCGTTTCTAGGGGGTTAAAAAATGAGTGTGGCGGTTCATCTGTAAGTATCCTGTTGAGCCCCTTGTTACTGTCAAAATTAGAAAATACATGTATGGGGGACCCAGGCTGAGACTTTGCTTACTGGTCAACACTGTTATTTGTTCACTGTGCTTTTATGAAGAAAACTAACCACACCCTTCCCTTAACTCACTTGTCTTACTGAGAATAATCAAACTGCCAGTTCTTTAATTCTGTGACTTGTTGCATTTAAAACAGTTTCCTTTTACAAGATTTTGTCAAACATCTTTGATTCTGACTCTTGTTGATTTCATGGGAGAGACTATGGTGCAGTTCTTAGCTCAGATCCACAGAGTAGCCTGTAGTTCAATCCTTGAGTTTTACCTACAGCTTTATATTTTACCTTCTCAGCTCTATACTGCCAAGGCCTCATACTTGGAGCTCTTGATTCTGTCAATGTGGGCTAGGACCCATAAGTAAAGGCCCCCCAAGAAGGAAAGCGCCAGGGTCAGGGGAACTGATCTGGCTTGGAGGATTGGTGTGCATGCAGTGCATTTTCAGTAGGTGATTCATCAGTGAAGTACCTCATCTGTCATTGAATGTCAGTGTCTAGGATTCCCCCAATACAGCACAAAGCCAGAGAGTGCTTCCTGAACGCATCCCTCTTGAATCCAAGAAGGCCCTGTTTACTTTTCTGCTGGAATCTTTCATCTTCCATTACTCAGAAATGATTTTGTCAGCAATCCTGACCAAGATTATGAAGTCATTTGCTCTGGGAGTCCATTTAAGTGCCTTGTCGAGAATGTTCCCTTCTGAGTCATGCTATTCTACAAGCTGCATTAAATGGCACTATTGTTGGAGAACATTATTTTATGTGCTTTATTTAATCTTTATTTTAAACAGAATGGGAAATTGATACATTTTAATACAATTCTTTCAGAACTAATTTTTTCCAGCATTTTAATACTGCAATGTTCCTCTGATGCCATTAAGTATTTTCCTCTCCATGGTCTGAATTGTAATGACATCTCCTGTCGCCTTTTGCTAGCACCCTTCTGACTGATGCTATTCTGACATTCTGAATTCTAAACTCCGGATCTTTATGAATCCAGTCTTTTCTCACAGATAGGTAGCCAAATCTTTGAGTCCTGTATCACACAAAAAGATGCAAAACCTGAAGATATCAGTCACTACTAAAAAATTAAACTTGCATAAAATGTAGCTGGTGATCAAAGAACCCTTCATAAATCATTTTCTCCTCTCCATTCTTCCCATGTCTGTTTTTACTCCTTGGGCATTATTAGCTAAGGGTCTACCTAGGCACTGAGTTTTCATTTTTTATGTCGTCTTGCTTATGTATGTCCCTAACCATGGTAGACTTAATTGATGTTGGACATATAGAAATGTTGCCTAATAAGTATAGATACATCCTAGCAAAGAATGAAAGTATTTTTAAACTATACTGAGTAAAAGGGTACTATGTAAATGTACAGTAACTATGTAATAAGATGCAGAATAGTTGCTGTTTTAAAATAAAATAGAAAGAAGAAGTTGGTGGTAACTTGCCAAATTCAAAGGTCACAGATGATCTACATATGTCCCCAGTGTTTTTAATGTGCTGAAACATCAGATTCTTTTGAGAATTTTATTTTGTTTATATATATATATTTTAAGAAAGGGTCTCATGTCGCTCAGGTTGGCTTCTAACTCACTATTTAGCCAAGGCTGCTATTTTCTATTTCCCAGTGCTGGGATTATAGGCATGTGCCAGTACAACCAACTTGTTTTGTTTTGGTTTTAATTGTATCAGTTGGTAATGTTTAGGTTTCAAAGTTGTTTTTTTAACCACTTATGAAATATAGTTTTAGATCCATATATGCCTTGTTGAATGTGTAAAATGAACTCTTGAGAATGTGATGGAGAAACCCTGAGAAAGGGGTGCTGACATTCAGTGTTATGTGAGATACGGGGAACATTGTGTTTCTTGTACTTTGAAGGTTTTGCGGTAGGTTGGGAGTTTTCACAAAATGCTCTTCATTATCAAAACTGTGGAAATTGCCTTGAGTATCTTTAGTGTTGACTGGATGGAGGGGATGGTTAAAGCAGGAGTTGGTGAACACTACTGGATTTCCTTCTACGAGCTTGATACTCTGTTGCATATTTTCTATGACGTCTGTCAAATATACCCCAGAGTATTCATATGGTTTTGTATTTGAACTTTGTCAGACAATGAGTTAATTGAATTAATTCAGTGAGTGCTGTAAATACAAAACTTGCAAGCGTTTCTGGTTTGTCTTCTAGGAAGAAGACAAGAAGAGTCCAGTCAGTTATCCTTCCCTCCTCAGCCACATGACTGCGTCCTTCCTCAACCATCCCTTCCTCCCCATGATAGTAAACACCAAGCTCTCCTCCCCCGCTGTCGAGCTGCTGAGTGAACTGGCGCTGCTTCAGTCATCTTTACCTTGTGACATCCATCTGGTTAACCTACGCACAATACAGACGAAGGTAAACTCCAGCAGGTGTCTGCAGAGAACCGTTTCTTTCACTCTGGACTTGCTTCAAGGGGTAAGGAGGGAGGAGGAAGTTGAGGACGCTTTGGAGCAATTGCTCAGCTCTCATGAGCTTACAGGAGACGTGAGTTCAGTTCCCAGCACCTGGGTTGAGTGGCTTACAACTGCCTGTAACTCATCTTCAGGGGACACTCCACTCTACTGGGCTTTGGGTAAGCACACACACGTACACACACATGTACACACATGCACACACCCACATGCAGAGCAAAAACACACATAGATAAATACAAATCTTAAAATAACACGTAGTAAGCTTCCCTGTGCTCTGTGGAATAATTCCAAGGACTTCCCCTTTTAGCCACTATGCTGTTCATGTGACAGTTGCTCTAGTTTAGAGAATATTCCAGTATTGACTTATTTACCTCTTGGGACAGTCCTGTGTGGTGAGCAGGTCAGAGTTTGCACCTTTTTCCATACATGGAAGCTAATGCTGGGCTTGGATCTCGTAATTAGGGGACAGGGACAGCTCATCAGTCCCAGTCACTTGTTTCATTTACTCCTGTTTGTTAGCCAGTGTTTCTCAAAGTTAGAGGAATACTAAATGTAGTGCTTAATCATTTCTACAGTAGATGCTTTGTACTTCATATCTCTTGTTTGAAAACATTGCAACTTGTATGGAGAGCCAACTTTGAGGATGTCTGAGAGCGAGCATGGGAGGGATGTATTAGGCATCCAGTTTAACTGCTGGTGTGTTTTGGTTTGTATTTATGTCCATCTGGGATAAGTACAGATTTGACGTTTGCCGTCCTTCTTCTGTGTGATGCAGCTGTTTTGATGTTGTGAGTAGGTGCACAGCTGGGTGTAGTGAGTGACAGGGATTCTGTGGGCAGTATCTCACAGTAAATGGCTTCAGCAGAAGAAAGGCAGGAGCTCAACCCAAGATGAGAGATGGATTTAAGAATAAAGAGAGCATGCTGAGTAGAGCAAGGAAGGGGGAATGTCTACACTGTGGATGTGTAGGGCTTTACAGACTTCATGCCCAGGATGAGGAACTTAGGCCAGGCTGTGAAGGAAGCGGTGTGACTTGTAATAAGGAAAGCAGGTGCTGCTGCCATAACTGTATGTGTTTGTGTTGCAACACTTGTTTTGTCCTGTGAGGTAAGCATGCAGGATTTGTCTTATGCCTGTAGGTGCTAGCTAGGCACCGGGCTTACAGCTGTCGGCAAAGAAAACTGATGGCCTTGACTCCTCAGTCCTTTCTAGTAGGAGATTCCAGAAGAGAACTAACAGGAAACATAGACTGAGTGGTGATGAGTGGTAAGGGGGGGAAAGGAGGGCCAAGAGCAGTTCAGAGGTGTCGACGCTAGTTTGCTTGGGGTGGGTAGAGAAGTCCCCACAGAGAAGATGAGAATTGGGGTGGAAGCCTGGAGGGGGTCAAGAAATAAAGGTCCATATTTCTGGGGGGTTATAAGGGACAATGAGAGAATGATCCTGGCAGGATTCAGAACAAGTATGGAAGCTGTGAGGGACACCTGTGGCCAGAATATGGGAGCGAGCTTTGCTCTTGTTCTGGACATGGGATGAGACCTTCTGTTGAACAAGTGAATTGCGAGGCTGTTTAAGCACAGCGGTTCTCAACCTGTGTGTCACAACACCTTTGGCAAACCTCTATGTCCAAAAACATTTACAATATGATTCATAACAGGAGCAAAATTACAGTTATGAATTAGTAATGAAAATAATTGTATGGTTGGGGTCACCAGAACATGAGGAACTGTATTAAAGGGTCACGGCATTAGGAAAGCTGAGAACCACCACTCTAGCATTTTATCTTGTTCTTTTATGTGTGTTTTTTGTTTTGTTTTGTTTTTTGACCCATAAAGACCAGAGTGGCCCATGGAGAGAACAGCCGAGGGTAGGTAGCCTCTTTGAAATAGCATGTCACTAATTCACAAGCTGAAAGGGAACACAAGAATAGAGGACACAGAAGACCCCAGGGCTCAGGCTCCTCTTCTTGGTGTAGATGCAGAGATTGTTAGCAACTTGAGAATCCCAAGGACTTCTAACAGTGAGGAATTCTGGCCACTGTCCCTTGGCCTCATTTGTAAATGACCCCTCTTCTGTAACTGTATTAAAAGTGTGGTTTTCTTGGAACAGCCCAAGTTGCCTGAGTCACTTGGTGGAAGGTAGGGTCATAGCCTCTATAGTCCAAGGCTGGCATTGGTTCTCATATCGCTGATTTTCAATGGTAACTTCTTTGTGGTCATTTGTTGGTTGTCTTCTATGAAGACTATAGAACTCTAATTACTTCCTGTTCCAGTTTGCATCTCTGTTGCTGTGATAAAACACTGTGACCAAAAGCATCTTACAGAAGGAAAAGGTTCATTTCAGCTTACACTTTCAGGATCAGGACCAATCTGTCATTGAGGAAGTCGGGGCAGAAACTCAAGACAGGAACCTGGAGGCAGGAACCATGGAAGAAGGCTGCTTGCTGGCTTACTTCTAGTCTCACATCTAGCTAGTTGTTTTTTTTTTTTTTTTTTAATTGCCCTGGACCACCTGCCCAGGAAATGGTAGTGCCAATGGTGGACTAGATCCTTCAATATCAATTAAGACAAAAGAAGCCCTCAGAGACATAGCCACAAACCAAGCCAAAAAAACAGCTACTCACTCTAGGGCTTCCTTTCCCATGACTCCAGGCTGTATGAAGTTGACAATTAAGGACAACCAAGCACCACACATATGAAAAATCCCATTTCCTACAAGATTAGTTGATAGTCTTGAGCAGCCAGACTCTGTATAGACTGCACCCTACTTACTGCAGCCACCGCCTTCTCGTGGACCTCTCCTTCTCTACCTGCAGCCCAAGAGATGGCTAACTTGGCTTAGTTTGTGAAATGGGGCCATTTCAGATAGACCTGCCTCAAGTTTATTATGAGAAACAAAATGATGCTTGGAAAGGCTATGGGAGACAGAAACACTTAGTAAAGAGGCAGTTGGTTGTGGTGATATATTGTGTCCCCCAAAATATTGTGCACCCTAATAAAGCTTATCTGAGGATCAGAGGAAAAAGTCAGCCACTGTATTAAACATAGAAGTCAGGCAATGGTAGCACATGCCTTTAATCCTAGCATTCGGGAGGCAAAGATCCATTCAGATCTCTGTGAGTTCAAGGCCACACTGGGGAACAGAGCTAGGCATGGTGACACATGCCTTTAATCCCAGCACTAACCATAGAGGTCTGGAGGTCTATACAGACAGAGAGGAAGTGATGTAGCTGGACAGAAAGAGGAAGTGAGATGCAGAACAGAAAGGCATATAGGCGTGAGTATACAGGAAGTAGGTCTCTTTGACTGAGGATTTCCAAGTGGTAAGAATGTGGCTGGCTTCTTTCTGCTTTTCTGATCTCTCAGATTTTACCCCAATATCTGGCTCTGGGATTTTCATTAATAAGACCTTTTAGCAATTCATCTTACAGTTGGTCCTGATGCTGCTTACAGTGTGTGAATGTGGGGGGGAGCAGGTAGAGATTTTGAACAGAGGGAATAGATAATAAATGAACGTCAAGATTTGAAAAGGAAGAACTAAAATGTCAGTGGCATTGTACCATGCCAGCGTGTAACCAGGACTAGAGATGCGAGGCTGCTTTAATATTATTGGATCTATTGGTGACAGTTCCTATGTTAGCTTTGGACTCTAAGCATGTATTTTGAATGGTCACATTTAAACCTATAAAGAGTTGTTTTTTGGGCCCTTAACCTTTGCAAAAAGAAAGGTCATCATTCAGTGAAACCGGTGAGTGTATTGTCTCAACAAAGTTGCTGCTTAAAAATATATCCATTGTAACTCCACAAGATGCCAAAGAAGTGACAGGGTAATGCCAGAAAGGATTGGATAGGCAAGTCCAGAAGCTAGATTTCAATATTCTGAATTGAGTTCTTGGCTTTGTGTGCTGGCAACATTCAGTATACAACAGTGGGATTCACTTGGAGATTGCAACTCATTCCCCCATAAGGAACTATTGATATAAATATTGGTTTCTAAGCAAGACCCAAGGTTTGCACTGGCAGTATGTCAATTAACATTTTCCTAATAGCTCCAAGGACTGCTTGGCCTGATAACAGTAGTGGTCTCTTCCTCCCTGATACCTATAAGTAGTAGCATCGTGGGGGCACCTTTTTTGCCCCTTTTCTATCCTTGGCCATTCAGTTCTAAATTTCAGTCTGGTCATCCTAGCTGCTCATGGATAAAAGAGTTATGGGTTCAGAGAGCAGTGAGAAAGACCCAGGGAGAGCTGGAAGGGGGACAAGAGTGAGAAAGGCTGGGGGGGGGGGTGCGGGAAGGTGATTTTGGGGTGCAGTGTACCAGTCCTCAGATTCTCTGAATCGAGCTCACATGTGGGAACCTGTAGAAACAGAGACTTTGATGAATGTACACATCCCAGAGATCCTGGCTCTGTAAGTTTAGGGAGTAGAGCTGAGAGATTTAATAATGATTTACTTAAAATAATAATTCAGAAAAGTCTTTCCTTTTGAGACTAGAAATTAGTGAGTTACCACCATTTAAAATAAGGGCTAGAGATTAAATCAACGTAAAACCACCTGGTAGACCTGATTTTGAGTCCTGTTTGTGGCCTCAGAAGGTATTTGATTTCTTAGAGTTACCATTTCTGTTTCCCAAAGTCCCAAACTTGCAAGAATGATCCTGTTATTAGTTGATGAGCTTATGTTTTTATATAGGCGTATTTACACTTGCACTTTCTGTATTTGGAAAGTGATTTTGTGCTGTGCTTGTAAGGAGATGACAAGCAGATGTCTCAGGAGCCCTGCCACAGAGTGTAGTGTGGGCTGGCTCATCCCCACAGCTGCCTGTGAGTTTAACTGTTAACCTTCTTGCTCAGTACGCCTCTTCATCCTCGCTTCTTTGAACTGTCTTCTCTTGATCATTCTCTCTTCCCTTTACTCTCAAACACTTCAGGTGAAGGTAGACGAA